ATTAGGTTGGAGGCCATCGCTAGTAATTAGGTTGGACGCATCAGGTTGGAGGCCATCACTAGTAATTAGGTTGGAGGCATTAGGTTGGAGGCCATCACTAGTAAAAACCACCTTGGCCCTTTTTCGACGAAAGCATCTCTTTTCTCGTCGAGGCCATCATGGCTGATGTGGCCGATGCAGTCCCCTTGCGCCGCGTACGGCGTGCCTTCCTCCGGGCGTTGGGCGGTCTATCGGCCACGAGGCGCCTGAAACGAGCGCGCGGTGCGGCAGTTGAAGGCCTGCCCCTTACAGAGTGATACATTTAGAAGAGATGAGGGGGGATCATTTGGTGTGATGTGTTTTGTTCCGAACATCTTGGAGATTTTCACGAGCTCTTTTTTGAAATACACATCGACATGATCTACAGTCAAAATCAACAGATCACACACACATACACACCCTAACCTGGCAAAAACAAGGGCACCTAGGTCATGGCATGCGGCCGCCAGGTCACCACTATTGCTCGTGGATCGTCGAGAGCGTCGGCAGATCGCAAACCTCCCTGAGGCAGATTCGCGGCTCAGGATGCAGCATACCCCAAGTAGATAATTAGTAATTATATAGATATATTTGGCAGTTTGGCATTGATTTGTTGATGCACGACTCCATGTTTGGCACGAAAATGCGTGGAACCTCCAAGAATTCCAGCAGGGTTTGGCATTGTACTTCGCGATAGGATGTGGCATAAGTTGTGCATGTAATCTTTTTCAGCGGAACTTCCAAAGGGTCAATGCAGGTACGCTGTGGTCTCACACGATGACATCCAGGAACTTAAGTGAACATGTGTCCTGGCCACGCCTACGGGCTGCACCCTCAATTCACGGAACATGGGAGAATCAGGGATCCAGCAGGTTTCAGGGTTCCATTTCCGCCTTGTTGGTACCCCAAAGGCCCAAAGGCTAAGAACAGACACAAGCCACTGAGCTGCTCGGCAGGGTCAGCACCAGGTACTATGAACTACCATATGGCTTTCCCCGAGCCAACCTCATGTTGTTTTGTATTTTTTCCAGCACGAGCGGCAGAGCCCCAGCTCCTTCGGAGGTCTTGGAGACACTTGGAGGGCTGCCTGGAGGTGGGGACAGGGGGGGAAGCATGACAGTAAGAAGAACACCGATGATGAGATTGAGGACAAGTAGTTCAGTTTTCAATGGAAAGATATATAGGTACACCGGTACACTGCAGGAACACAACCTGACAAGATGGCATGATCGGAGTTGCGCTATCCTGGTTGCTCCGATGTTGCAGTAGGAATGGAACTACCAGTCGAATCTTCCAATGTCCCGAATGGGGAACCAGAATTTGGTCAGTTGCAGTCATGCCGCGCTTCTTTGGAATTCGTTTGAGAGTCAGTTTACGTCAAGACTCTACCTGCAGAGCCTCGGATCTCATCGCCCCCATTCGCAGGACATGAGCTGATTTACTGTGAGAACCTGACACTCGCTGAGACCGGACTCCCAAGCGTGGGTGCGTAGTGCGTGGTTTGGAAGCTGTGTATCAGAAGCTTGGGGAAGACCTGGACTGCCAAACCAAGCAGTGCACCTTCTAAAAGACTTGGAACAAAAATATGGTTTTCCCCTCTCAAAAGACTTGGATTCGTTGAAGCGATGCCGTGGAAACACTACAGATCAGATCAGTCGCTTTGAGGTTCCAAGTTGTTCTCTCTGCAGCTGAAGCAAGTGGACTGACCCAAGTGGACCCTGGTTTGAGTGACTGGGGGAGGGCGACGTGCTTTGCAGCACCTTTACATATCATCCCAAATTGATGGTTCTAGAACCACTCACCACCCTGCCACCAACCCTCCATGCAGATCCGGTGTTTGATCCTTCGAAGGGTTGAAACCGGAATGGTCTCGCCCGATGGACCTGCGAGTTGGGGTTTTCAGCTCTACAATCTCCATTCGTACTTTGCTTGGGGCTTATATATTCCTGGTCTGCGTCGACCTACACGATGCGTACTGACGTGCCGTGTGACATTCGGTATCGGTCGCGTACTGTACAATTCATTGAACTTGCACTTCTTGGCCACCAATTCCCTTCCCTCATCCCCTCCTGCCCTGCAAACACGCTCCAAGTCCTCCGGCTTTTTTTGTGGCCCAATCTGACCGAGGCAGTTGTCCCACTTCGCTGCAGCTCGTGGTGCAGTGGCCGTGAGCGGTGCCTGCCTGGCCAACAGTCTCTACATGCCGGAGGCGCGTTCTCGGCACGGCCGGGGTTTGGCCGGACTGAAGCGGGTGGTGAAAAAGAGGTGAGAACGAGGATGATGAGAGAGGAACTTACTAAGACTCTGGTCTTGGATCAATCAAAAAGGCCCTCCTTCGGATTGAACAGGCTCTCCCTGATTTCATAATAACAATATATATATATATATATTTTTTTTTAAAACATGGTTTTACTCATCAACAGTCTGCATTACTACGCTTCGGTCCGGGCACCGATAGATGATGCGAACGACCCAGGTGCCGGGCGGTGTCACTCGTGCGAGTGACGAGCTTGGTCCGCGCTTCGACGATGGAAAAACCTCAGGGCTCCTTGGTGGTGGATGCGGTGCCGCTGAAGAACTACATCGGCGCAGATGTTGTGATGTCACCGTGCCTTTGGGATGAAGCTTAAGCGAGGCTAAGCGATTGGGTGAGGGAGTGTGCCGCTCACGATTCGGTGGATGGTGGATGAACTTCTAAAGAACTCTCCCCGAGAAGAGCTTTTACAATCCAAATGCATCCAAATGCGCTCTTGGGGGGGTTCTTCATCAACCGTCTATGTCTATATTGCACGAGGAGATGTGCCAACTCTTACGGTGACTTTTTCACCCTGAAAGGAGATGTGCTGAACAACATCGGCAGCGGTGAAATGGAGGGTCAGGATGTGGTGCAAAGCCCACCCAACGCGGGAATATTTGCTGAGATGTGCTGAGAATCGGGCAACACTTCACTCTGACCATGGCCTCATGTGGCAGGTGTTGTTTGACTGGAAGGATCTTTTGTTCCTTGCTGTTCCCTGCCAGTAAACAGCTTGCAATTTGTTTGATAATTTGATTCGATTTTAGGAATGTGCAGTCCTGAGGCATCCTGAGTCCTGAGCAGGAGGTCTTGACATCTTTGCCATTCTTTGCCCATGCATTTCATCCAACGCACCTCAAAGCAAAAGGTCGGTTTCTTTGCTTTTGGTCCATGCGGGGCGTGGCCCACACACCATCCTGATCCCTCCGGTCGGGTTTTTCGGACGCCCAGGGAGTGTGGGACGACGTGGTTCTGGAGCCTCACGCAGAATGTCACCTGAGCAGCAAGGAGGGCGAAATCGAACAACCACTGGGTGACCGCAGCTCTATCGTGTACCACGACTTGGTGGGCCATGGCGGGCCTGGATTGTTCACGGCTTGACCTTTTAAAGATGATTTGAGACCATGACATTCAACATGCTTTAGAATGAGCTGGCAATCATGATGTGGTTCTGTGACTGTTGGGTCCAGCACAGCGCTTCCAAGAGATCACTCACCAGACGTCTTATCCCAACATCCTTTGCTTGTCGCATCACCCTTCATCCCCCGGTCACGATGTGTCAAGAAATGGCCCCCAACGCCTCCATCGCCTCGTCTGCCGCACGCCGGCACGTCCGACGCTGCGACGGCGGGTGGTGCCACTCGTACGACGCTCAGGTGAAGGTCCTCTATCGCACGCTGCTGCTGCCACAGGAGGACTTGGACGCCGACTTCGTGACGCTGCCGGCCGCCTGGATGCCGTGGCGGGTGAGGATTGGGGGTGAGGATTGGGGGTGTGGAGAAGTTCTCTTTGTTTCAAGCGTTTGGACAAATGGAAACGGGTCCCTCTAGCATTCCTGAAGGAGTTTGCTGGATGAAGAGATGGCTGGGAGGTGAGTGTTTAGCTGTTAGGCGGTACCTAAGAACTGAGCAAACGAAAAGCACTCTGGCGATGCTTGAGTTCACAATACAAATCTGGGGGTGATCCCCTTTTCCTCTCCTTCATGAGCATACTCGACATGTTTTTCTTCTCGTGTCCAGATTAAACCTCGCTGGATGCGCCATGTGTGTCTCACACCCGCGAATCTCAGCGAAAGGTGCTGTTGGAAGACCTGCCAGAAAGCCAAACAAACAAGCTTGGTGCCTTCAGACTTGCCCCAAAGCTTAGCACCACTATCCAGATTATCCAGCACCCCAACCAGCATCAGGCAGTAGTTCACCCCAACAGCACCCTTTTTTTCCTGCCTTAGAGGCTGAATGCTTCGGGAAACTGCCAGGCTTAGAGACGTGTGCGCAGAAGCTCCTGCGCCGAACCCTCAGGTCGATCGTCTCAGAGAGGTCTTGACCCGCGACGGCGCGCCGCTGCGCGGAGCGCAGCAAGCCGCTTCCGTGGAGGAGTGCCTTTCGAGGCACGAGAGGAGAAGTGTCGGGTGGGGTCATTTGGGTGTGACATGCTGTGAAACGAGTGGAAGGTTGTGCCAGATTTCGATAGATTTCGTCTATCAAGATGGCTTCCTTGCCATTGCATTGCGAAAGGATTCGTGAAGCTGCAGCAGAAAACCTCCAATAGGAGTGGAAGTTCATGTTCTCTTCAAAGCCCTTTGTAGTGGATGAGGACTGAACTAATATATAACAATATATATGAATCTGTGGTTTCTGCTTGCACATGCTTGCACTCTTGGTTTCCACTTGGACTAATTTCCAGTAGACTAATACACATCAGTCCATCCAAGGTCAAAGCCATTACCCCATACCATTAGTGAATAGTAATCTTGCAGAATGACAAGCTCGACCAGCTGGAGTTGTGCACGCCCAGTGATGACCCAGACCCAGACCATCAGATATCCATCCCTCACACTGGCAGATCTTTAGCACAACTTGGACAACTGCATCACTTCACCCTGCTAGTAGGGTTAGTAGGGTTGCTGGTGGTTTAGCTGAGCAGTTTCGAGGGAAGGTTGCTGGTGGGTGCAGCTTGAAGGGAAGTTCTTTTTGGGCCACTCAATAGAAGTCCAACCCCATTCCATGCTCCTCCTATGGATCTTTATCAAAATCCGTCGAAATCCAAGCGTCACCAGTCACGAAACACGACACTTCGGAACCATCCCTTTGTGCTACTCCCAGCGACCTCACACGTTTTGCCCAAGCATTCGAGTGATCACTGGAGGCCAAACCCAGAGCCTGGGAGCCAGAGCCTTTGCACTGCTTCCAGTGTTGCCAGCGAGGCAGAATGCGGAAGAGGATGGGTATGGAGCGATGCGTGCAAGGAATCATCATATATTGTGGTGCGCACAGTTTCAATGGATTGTTTATTTGTCTGTTTGTCTCCTGGTCAAAGGACGGAGGTTTTCCACGGCAGGCGGAGCAGTTCTGCGGCGCGGCGTGGGCCTCCGGACGGGCGTGGGCACCGTGCTTTCAGGCACGCTTCGGCGGAAGCGGGGGCCAATGGCGTCTTCGGCGCGAGTGAATGAGGCGAAAGAGACGAGGAACGAGACGAGGAACACATAAGAAAACATCGAATTTCGAAGGACGTAGCTTGAAAGGGCAGCTAGGCGGTCATCTACAAATGCTCTTGGGTTCGAAGCTGCATTACGTGAGGTTTTTTAGGTGTTCAGAAGTGTTTGCTGATGTTTGCTGTTTGTATTGGTTTGGTTGGTGACTTGGAACGGTCACGCTGACAGCCCAGGCCCTGTCATCTGAGTCATCTACGTGTCCTACGTAGCTAACCTTGGGATGTGGCAGGTAGACAAAAACGAGTGTTTCTGGAGAAGTAGATGACCCCGAACAATCTGCTCAACGAAGTCTTTTTCTCCAGTATAGGGAGAATTGGACGGGGTGTTGATTCCAAGATCCATCATTGACTGTCAATAGGCCGTGGTGGAGGGCTTCTACTGCCGCAAGATAGGTGGATTTGTTCGTTCCTTGGTTCTCTTCCCTTCAAAAGTGCCTTCTTGCAGGGCAAAATCTGTCTCTATTTCATCTATAGTAACAAAGGCCATCGCTACGAACGGAGCAAGGACGCTAATTTACTAGTAGCTCCTGGCTTTACTACTACTACTACTACTACTACTACTACTACTACTACTACTAGTAGCTAGAAGCTACTAGTAACACTGTAGCCTGTTGATTCCAGGTCCTCCCAGAGTCTGTTCCAAGGCAGGGGGCCGGATCGCCACGGTCACAAGGGACCGCGTGGACAGCCGAAGTCCGCACAGGAGTTCCATCGGGCAAGACTTCGCACATCGAAGGAGGGGCTTCGGACCAGTGGGAAGGCTCAGAGAAGGATGCAAAAAGCTTATCCAATGCATTCGACAGCGAATCATCAAGAACCTGAACAAACCTGATTATACCTGAACCATATTATCTACAAGAAACTTAGGAGATGACCAATATAACTATTATGAACCTATTATAACCGTCATATATATGTCATTGTACAGTAATTGAATAGAATCATGCTTTAATGTCTTTGAAGGGCTTCGGGCGAAACCTCTTGGTTTCTCTTGCCGTACAGCTCGCTTCGGGTGATCCCGCGTTGGTGGCTGAGGCTTGTCAAAGTTGCAGCACGATGTCGAGATGCTCTCCTACTTGGAGGCCAGACTCAAACATCACTGGATCTGCTGGATCCACCAGGTCAGTGGTCAGGGCTGGGTCGAGGATTCAAGTGGAAAGGGGGGGTCCCGGAGTCCAAACAGAGGGTGGCTATGGCTTCCATGTCTTGCTTGGGCTTGGGGAGTTCGCAAAAGTCGGGGAATCATCATGGCTTTGCTGAAGTCCTTTGTCCTTCGTACAGCGAAGTGTCTTCTTACTGCGAAGTCTACTCATCCTCCCAGTGTCCCATGACGAATCCGTGCTTCTTTGAGCCCAACCCATGACGAATCAGCAAAAAAAACACCACATCACAGTGTCAAAGTGTCATTAGATAAGATCAGCCAAGCCCCCCCATCCCCTCCAACCGGTCCAACCGCCATCGCTGAACATCACTGGCAGTCGTTCAACATCACTGTGGAGGGCTTGCCGCTTCTACGAGCTCTTCATGACTTGGCGGCCAAACGCTACCAGGGCCGGCCGTCACAGGCGTGGACGCATCGCATGAGGACTTCTTTTGTTTTCCGCATCGCAAGGAAAATCCGGACGCTCCAGAAGAATCTCGGTTCGGATTGGATCTCGGTTCATCTGTTTAGGTGATGAACATGCAGGCGTTTGGGGCTTTTCACACTCGATATGTTGTCACGCATGGGCCCAGCCGAAGGGTAGCCGCAAGCGTGGCGAATCGCCATTTCTCCGGCGCGGGCAGGCCTTTGAGATTCGCCTGCCACTGAAGGATTGGCGCCGTAGCCAATTGCTGGAGCTGCAGAGCGGGCGGCGTTCGCCATCAGGTCGGGTTGGAGAAGGAAGCAACATGATACCTGGATCCAGATTTGAACATCTACATACATCTACCATCATCTACAAACAGTCACTAAAATGAAGGCTGATGTGAATGGACACCTGGGTTATGATATGGGTCAAGATCCATTTCATTTCCCAGATGAATCATGATGAGTATCAATGAACATTCCCGGTCAAGGCTCGAAGCAATTGGTTGGTTGCTTGGGTTATTTTTTCTCTTTTTGCAAACTCTAAGACCCAATGACTTGGACCATATTGACCCACATCCATTCAACCATCGGATGCCGTGGCAGGTGCTGCTGAACCGCGCGGACCGCACATGCTGGCGACGCCTTGGCGCTTGCAGACCGACGTAGCGATGCTGGAGCGGCGATTGGCAGAACAGGGGCATGTGGTGGTGGAGGAGGTGCCGAACAGTTGGAGTAAGGAAGGAAGACAATGGGGTGGACAAAAGTGGAATGATGTGCTGCATAGGAGTGATTTATATATGTGTTTGTGTTGTGTGTGTGAGAAAGTGAAGGGATCGCTACGACGAACAATTATACTGTACTACGTAGTTTGGGTTTAATGATTGTCTTGATGCTGAATTGCTGCCTGCATCGACACCCTCCCTTTTACCAAACATGCCGTGCCCCGCGACAGCGAACCCACAGAATTCCGTGCCCGTGAACCACCGTGAACCGGTGAAGAGCGTGAACCTGCCGGGTGATGCTGAGGTGTCAGCTGGGCAGGTTGCTGGGCTGGGAGCTTGTGAAGTGAATAGATGTCAATGGTACCATATGGTACCTGTTCTGAATTTTGTTTATCATCACCAACAAACGAACAACTTAAAGTTTCATATTTGTTGGTGTTCTTTTCCGATGAGGAACTGGCATAAGTTACATCAGTCGCTTCATCCATCGCTCAGTCACTTCCAGACTCCAGGTTGACAGGCGAAAAGCCTTGTGTTATCTTGTGTCAGAGAAAGATCAGCACGGCAGTTGCGGTGCTTTTTTGGTGTGTGTGTTTTTATTACTATTATTATGTCTATTTTTTTTGTGTCAGTTTCACTTGACAGTTTCTATTTTGCTGACCATGCCTGAGGGTACTTTGATCATCTTTGATCAAATTTGTTGTTTTCCTGTTGCTTTCAGCAAATCACAGTGTCATTGTGGTCATTTGGCCCGGACGTCGAATCAGAAAAAGATGTGTCGCCAGGTGCTTTCCAGGACTGCGCTGGACTTCGTCAAACGAGAGCTGCAGGAACGCATCATGTGCCTCGTGTTGAATTTTTGGCGGTTCCCCGCGGCACGGTACGTGGACTGGTAAGGGGGTTCCATGGCGCCATGACCCATAGGAGCCCCTAGTAGCTTCTTGTAGTAATTAAGGATGCTCCTAGTAGTACGGCCAGGAGCCCCTAGTAGCGTCCTTGCTCCTAGTAGCGATGCCAGGAGCCCCTAGTAGCTTCTTGTTAATCCCCAAACCACCAACCTCCCAGTGCACTGTTCCCAGTGTCCTAGTGAATTGTCGGAGACTCGGTGACTCTGGGTGTGTGTCCTTCCACCGATTCCAGGTTACTTGAGCAGAAAGAATGAGATGTTTGCGCAATGCCATATGCCCTTAGTGATTGAGATGGTTTTTAGCTTGATTGAAGATCACCAGTCGTCATCCCTCGTCACCCATGGCCGTGCCAGTTCGGCGATCCCTCGGACGACCCGCTTCCGCCAGCTTCCGTCGCACACCGGCTTCAGCACCGTTGCCGCGGAAGCCGCGGGGACGCCACGCGCCAGAACCGCCCATGGCACCTATCAGCGCCGTGGATCAGCTGGAGGACGCGGAGAATGGCGCGGCGGGGAGGATCGCGCCACCGGTGGTGAAGAGGATTCCCATCAAGGCGCGGACGCCGAGGTTTACCTCCTGCGTTCGATGGTTTGACCATAGCTCGAGGCGATCAGAGGCGATCAGAAGCTATCAAAAACATCTGGAAGCTTACTACCCCCCTGCCACAGGCTGCGGTTTCTTGGTTGAGTGGTGTTGGAGAAGTGAAGGAAAGGACCCCTTGGAAGTCAGCATCTCAAGGTGTCATAGGTAAGGTCATTCTGAAGGTCAATGTGAAGCATTGCCAACCAAGAAATCATGCGCAGCCCGACGCGAACTTTTGAGTCCACAGGCGGGCCCTGGTGTGCTTGGCGCCCGATCCAGTCTGCGCGCCGCACGCGGTGCGCGCGCGATCGGTGCGCGGCAGCTTGAGCCACCGCCTATCAGTGTGCCGGCCATGCTATTGGATGCCGATGAGCAGCGGGTCTTGAGCCCTGGAAATGATGAATTGAGGATAATTGACGTGATCTTGCTTTGTGAAGCTTTACTACCTCAATTACTACCCCAAACTAGAGAATGTCACGGGCTTCCAGTCCAGGTGCTTTAAGGTGCAGGTCCAAGTCTTCAATGTCAGAGCTTAATCCGAGGAATTATCAGACGGCAGTGTGGTGCTTTGCCTTCCTGGAGACTTGGCTGGCAATATCAGGGGGACTTGCAGGATCGATTTGTCAGCATAAGAATCGATTCCTGCTTGGGAGAAGTGTACTCCAAGCAAAGCTGAAAAGAACAGCTCTCTCCAACCCCAAACTGCAGGAGATTCTCAAAAATCAGGATGGACTGAGAACATGGCCGGCCTAAGCAAACTGAGTCCACGAGTCCACGCATTGACTTTTGGGATCTTATAGGACAGCCAGTCGCAGTTCAAAACTTCAGACAGGAACCCTTTCTGCCTTGAAGGGCAAGAAAAGCAAGTACAAACCTCCCCTTGGCATATATAAAACGCCCCTGAAATTCCTTGAATGAGGGTATTGGATGGTCTTGGCATGTCAGGGCGGCCCAAAGTGGATTTCATTGGTGGCAAGCTGTGCCGAAAAACTCCGTCGGGATCGCAATCAAAGCGCGAGCACGATCCAGGATATCCTTTCAACAATTCTCAACATCATCGCAGCCTATGCGGATGGATTGCCGTGGGAGTGGCCCCAGCTCTTTGTTGTGCTTCTGATTTTGCTTGGGCCAATTTGTGGTATGATGGGTGCCTCCTATCTCCAACGCTCCTCGTCTTCAATGGGGGAACCATGAGAAGCAGAACAGATCCTGTCACTAACTCTAGTCATGTTTCGTCCATCCTAGTCACGACGTACGGTTCATTCAATGAAGCGGTGTCGTGGTTGCGAAACATGACAGAATTGAACGTGGATGTGATTTGCAGGGAAGTGCTCGAGGATTGGTACCGAAGAAAAATAATCTATGCACGATGACCTTTGAACAATCTTCCCCATGTTTACAAGAGTCTGGGATCATCTTCTCAAAAGCCAGGTTCTTAGAGACCAATGACATCTGAAAACGCTCTCTCTGCCGCCACCGAACGATCCCACCCATGCCCGTGTTCCGCGTGCTGGGACGACATGCAGGTCACTTGACAGCCGTCTTTGTGCTCACCTGCCTCATCAAGGCCGTCGTGCAGGTGCCAAGTGGTGTATCAAGTTGCATCGTGCCCAAACCACCATTGCAAATATCATCAAATATCCCCCAAATGCAGCAGTGTTCACACCACTCGAGTCTCTTTTGTTATGTTCAACATGCGGTGTCTTGCGCCGATGAGGTCTACCTGGCCTTCGCTTCCTTCTTCCTTTGGACGATCCTCTTCGCATTCTTGCAATGCTGCCTGGTTTTGCATTTCCAGGCCATCATATTCGTTCCCCCGACTGGATCCTTCTAGCAAATTGACTGGCAGAGATAGGGTGTGGCCCATGACCAGTTACAGTCGGTCAACGAGTGATTGCCATTTTTAAGAAAAGGCCTGCGACCAGGCCCCATCATCCAATCATCCGCTCTGGTCAGGGGACATGACCAACATGACCACCACCATCCACCAGGGAATCGCCCTTGCATATCCGATCCGCTCCAAGCGATCCGCTCCATCAGGTTGGATCACGAAGATTGCCGCCACTTTCTGGTCAGCCTTGGGGCTTCTGACCCCAGAGCGTCGGCGAAAGGTTTTAGAGGTGAAGGACTATGAGACGCAGAGGGTCTATTGGTGAGACACATGGCCATCCTGGTGCCAACTGTGTGGTGCTTCTCCTAATGGCGAACAGAGTCATGTACAGGCCAAAATGTACAGGGAAGGCTAGTCCTTCCTGAAGCTCGCGCAGCCTGAATGACTATGTGCTGCAGCTCTGGTATAGGGACACCGCCTCACCAGCCCTGTCAATTTGTTCATGGAGCCTGCAATAAGGTGCAGGAGATCAGTACTTGCCGCAGGAAACCGTTTGCCCACGAGCAGCATCTTCATTTTTGTGGCAATTCCATCACAGCGGGGGAAGACAGTCCTTTGTAGTGCCGAGTGTTGGGGTGCTTCCGGCAGAGCTCAGCCATTTCTGATGTAAAGCATTTGAAGCCCAAGACCTGTCCGGTCCGGGCTCCGCGCATGCCACCCGTGCAGAGTGCGCGTTCGGAGCGGAAAGTGCGCTCCCGTAGCAGAGAAGTCTACAGAGCAGAGTGACCAGGCGTGAGCTGCAGCACGGGGGTACATCTATAGGCCTATAGGGGTAGTGAATAATATGTACTGGTTTTCCAGTGCATGACAGAAATCGACAGAAGCAAGATGAACCAAGTCAAACATATGTTGGAACATGACTAGATTTATGTTATTTTATGTTGGTCCATGACTTTGTATTCGACTTCGTATGTTGTGAAAAGTTATCAACATCGCACATTTGCACTTTGAGGGATCGACCAACGAAGAGGTGAGGTTGCACAGCCATGGACGGTGCATGTCCAGCCATGGTCTCCATCGTCCGGAAATTTGCAACCGACCTCATTTAGACGGTTGATGAAACAATCATCATAAGCCTCCCAACATGGAGATGTAAAATCACATAAAACATCATCAACCATTCTGGCGGGGTGGGGTGTGGGTGTGGGTGGTTTTGATCAATCAACTGTCACCAGCCTCCAGCATTTGGACTGGCCGCATCTCCAATTCCTGGGAGCTGCGCGAAGCTCAATCCGCGTCCGCGGTGAGGTTCCACGTGCCTCCCCGCGACGGGAGAGGCTTCCTTGTGGCCACGCTGGAGAGGGGTCTGGCGAGCGACTGGCTGCAACGCCTGGTGAACGAGCTTCGGGAGGTGGGTCCGCTGGGCCGAGCCGCCTCGGATGTCAGCGATGGCCGATGGCCTCCGGCGATGGCCTCGAAGCTAAGAGCGATGACCGAAGAGCGATGGCCTCCACCTTCAGGAGGGTTACAGCTTAGGAGGGTTGAAGTTCAACACCAAGCAAGCAAATACACTGCTGCCTTTCTAGCAGATGTAGCAAATCCTGAAATCACTTGGATGTACCCTCTGACTGATAACATGGAAGTGGAAAACGGCCTGTGTAGAGGAGAATGGTCTCTTTCCAGTGGTTATTTTGCACTTCCATGTTAGTGAATCAGATGCTAAATCCATTTATACAATGTTTGCAAGTCCTGAGTAAGAAGCCTTTAGCGTACCTATGACTATTTTAGCGTACCTATGACTATTCTCTATGACCATAATCCATAATTATATGGTATTATATGGTGGTATCAGCGGTGGTATCATGTCGGTCTTCTCTGGCTCCAACAAAAAATATGACAACGCGGGAAATCTCACTTTTTGAGCTCACATGGAGGTGCTTTTCGGACACATCACCTGCACCAGTTAGATTCTTTTCTCCAAGAAATCACGAAAGATCAGCGCCTTGGGGCTTTTGACTCAGCAGGCTTTGCCCAACACGCTGGGCGTGTTCTGCCATGCCTTGGCCGCCAAAGCCGCGGTCGCGGGCAGCTCTGCCGTTCCAGCAGTTCTGCCCTGGACGCGGCAAGACGGGGGTGGTGGACCAGGGGTCGGGAGCTTAGACGAGATGAGAATGGAGTATTCTTGTTTCTAATAGCTTCTTGCTACTACTAGTAAGGCCCTTGCTCCTAGTAGCGATGCACTTGTTCCTAGTAGCTTATTGTTTCTAGTTGAGGGTTCATTGCAGAAGAAAGCCGGCAGAACAATCATTACATGGATGAGCACTTCAGATGAATCGTGTTCTTGGCTGTGCGGATGACAAATATTCAAAGATATCTAAGCATGCCGTTTTCAAAGTCTGGCGATTGGATGTCGCAATTTGAAGCTGTGAGAGAAAGTTGCGTGCTCAAGACTATCAATCTAGTAATATAATATACACTAACAGAATATATTTGTATACTTCTATACTCATCTATACTCTAATATATTCAATAAATTACCTAATGATAGAATGATCACTGTCCACCGATGAATTTTCACCGGCCCATTCTCACATGAGCTGCACCAGGTGTCTTTGTTGCTTTGGGTGGCACCGGCCTCCACCAGCGGGGCACCGGCACTCCGATTCTCCGGTGGAGAAGTTGTGAGCTGCTGGGAAGCAGCCAGTGGGTTTGCAGACAGGTGCTGAACCGTGGATGTGGTTCTTCTTTGAAGCTACTAAGGGCTCCTGGCATCGCTACTAGGAGCAAGGACGCTACGAACGGGGCTCCTGGCCTTACTACTAGGAACAAGAGGACGCTACGAACGGAGCCAGGAGGAAGCGACCGGACCTACGAAGTGGGACACCCGGTCTCCGGGCGTGCCATCTTTGGTTCTTGTTTCGAAGGGGACGGACCGGTGACTCGTGTGAAGGTAGGGCGTTGCGGCAACGTCGTCGAAGCAGCAAAGTCCGGTAGATAGTTCACGACTGGGATGCTGGAAGCATGCAGGAGCTGAGGAAGGTTCCGAGAGACTGGAGGTTTGACCGCCAAACGACCGGTGGGAAGCATTTGCAAAGCAATTGATAGTGGATGAGTGTCCATGTTTCTCTAGGATGAGCAAAGACAAATAAGAACAGACTCGTGAAAGCAACATCATGTATCCCAAACCCGCTACAGTGATACAAGGCATACAGTATACGCAAAAAAAGGGGCAGTATAGAACAGTTGCCCGCCACCCTTTTCAGCAAACGACTACATAGCTGCCTGGTTTCATCTAGTTATTCTTCTGTGTCTCAAGAACAAGCCAAAACGCATTCCGCCAAAAACGCATTCCGCCCCTTTCCGTTTCGGAACACCTTTCCGCAAAAGAAGAACACCATGAAACACGACAGCGAACGCCACGATGCCGCGAGGCTCTGCGCCCAACCGCGGCATCGTGTGGCACGAGAGGACGATGCCCAGGCCGCTGTGGCTGGAGGAGTCCTTGCCGCCGCCTGGAGCGAAGGAGGAGGATCGGAGAAGTTGTGACAGGCTAAGAATGGATCACGGCGGCGGATATTCTTTTTTGTTTTTGCGCCGAGACGCGTTTCTTGCGTGAGTTCTTTCGCTTTCTTTTTGGCGAAAAGGGGAGGTTTCAACGTGTTTCATATATTTATAGTCTCATGGAAGTTTTCATGGAGATGGTACATTTTGGTGTTTCTTTCTCTTGCAGTCCAGAAGATGTTTGGCACAATCCAAGACATTGGGCCTATGGAACTAGACGTATTGGTCTCCTCCGGAAGACCCAAGGGTTACTTGGGGTCTTAGCAAGGTACGTGCTACCCCTTTTGTTGGTGTTTCGCTCTCCCAGCCGGACGGCGGCTTTCGCCCTCCCCCTCCAACCCCCTCCCCCACGCACGGCTGACACCGCTCGTGCTGGGGTGGCTGACACCGCGGCCGCGCCGAGGAGCTACGCGCACCGCAGAATCCATTTGCTGCTCCGCTTCAAACGAGCGGACGCCGCTGGAAACGAACGAGCGCGGACGGACCGCGGCTGGGCGGGGTCAGGCGGCACGAGAGGCCGTGATGGAGGTGTTTGTTTTTTCTCTTTTTTTCTCCCATGTGCTAGGAGGTGATGAGAGGTTTTTGTTTGATGTGGTCAAATGTATTCATTTTTCGGTCATAGAATTTGAAGGGTGGCAAGGAACTTCTCTTCAGAAGTTGATGGACTGAATAGTTTTTGTTTTCAATGATGTATAGAGGGAGAAATAATGGGTGTTCAAGCATCATCGCTTCGCCGAACTTCTAACATTTGGCCTCAGCTGATCAGATAGACAAAGGCACATTGAAGCACCGGAGTCGAGATCTTGTGGGCAAAGTGAAGCATTCGACTGCATTTGGTGAGCCAAGTCCCAGTCCGATGAACTGCAGGGTTACTGTGTATTTCCCATTTGGATATCTGACACCCACTGCAAGTCGGGCAAATCCAAGCCTGCTTCAGCACAGCTATTACATCCCAAACACCCATCTCCACCAACAACCTAACAGCGATGGCCTCCAACCTATATACTAGCTTCTTGCTACTACTAGCTTCTTGCTCCTAGTAGGGCATGGCCTCCAACATAACATACCTATGGCCTCCAGCCTACTAGCTTCTTGCTACTAGAGTATCAAATCTTCACTTTCTTTCCCACGACAAGTGGAACTGGGCCATGTTAGCCACGTGGAAATTGAACGACGTTTGGTCCTGCACGTAAAGGCGCGTCGAAGCGCGACATTGGACGGTGTGACTGGATCGAGCCCCAAACCACCGGTGTCACTGGGCGTCGATAGGGTCCTACAGTGCACTTTGAAGCTGGATCTGTGGTTCTCAGTCATGTGACCCAGCCTACTTAGGGCTTACTTTGCGCAACTGGTTTGCGGGTGATGCTGCCGAGTGCGTGGAATCGCTTGGATGAACTCCTCTCGCCTATCCAAGACTTTAAATCATGTTTAATTTTGATGAAATCAAAACCAACTAGGTCCCATTTTTGTTGTGCCTTCATCCTAAGATGCCAAGCACATTTGCCAAGACCAGGGAGCTAAGCTGCAGGTCACGATGCAAAACTATGTACTGGTACTGGATGATGTGCCCACCAGTTTCTTTGCCCGAAGCTTACCGCCTTGCAGAAGGCTGGACCACTACGCCGTCCCTGCTACACCCATCTTGGCTCGAGCCGCAGTGTGTTCGAACGAGTCCCACCTTCTGTTCTCAGATTTTGCAGTCATGGTGTCGTGGTTGCAAAAAGCGAAGCGACACGATGTTTCCATGGAGTTCAGACCAAACGTAAGAAGAGAATAGAATAGAATACATAGAATATAGAGTTTGATCCAAACAGTTTTTGAGAAAGTCGGAAAACCTTGTGCCCCACCCTAGAACAACTGGACCTTTCCTGTCTTGAGCACCAGACAATAGGCCCAGCTAGGCACATGACATTCTCGTTCCCTTCTCATTCTAGAACTTGTTGAAAACACAAACAGCAAGATGTTCTGTGCTTTCACCAACACTTTCACTAGTGAGTTTGTTAAGCGATATATATATATATAATATATACACAAAATTTGAAAACATATATATATATATATTTATACAGTTATATATCTAATATTTATAATACGTAAATCATTCTACAGCAAATGTCCGGAACACATTCTCGCCTAAAGGAGCTCCACCTGGGGAGGAAACGCCCCAAAGCCATCCGCTCAAAAGTTCCGATGAGGAGTGAATGCCTATTGTTTGCAAGGGACTTCTTAGTTTTGCAGACACAGCCTCGCGTCATTTGGTGAGGCCACCAAGATCGGCATCAACGGCTTTGGGCGCATTGGGCGCATGGTCTTCCAGGTGTCTTCACGAAAGAAAGAAACGCGCCGCAGATTTTGTGGTGTTTTGTGGCCGCATGATTCATGATTCAACAAATCAAGCGCCGATGTTTCACAGACCAACATGGCAAGAGTCCAGAGTTGTTGAGCATTTTTGAGCCCTTTCTTGGTACATGAAGGACCCTGATACATGGCTAGTCTGGTGCTTTGACCAGCTTGACGGGCGAAGCTAATGAGCTTTATATGTGAGCTGATGATGTCAATTTCGGGGATTCCACTTCCTTTTTGAATTCCGATGTCCTGAGCTTTGCAGTAGCCTCAAGCGACCCATTTCGTTTTGCTGGTCGCACTTTTCGTGGTCGCACTGTCCGTCGTGACGGAGGCCATTTGCGACCAGAACCTCCTGGGCACCAAGTTGGATGTGGTTGGTGTCGTGGATATGTCCACCGATGCTGAATACTTCGCGCAGCTCAGATCGAATGAGACATGTAGGATCATGTAGGAGCGGTGGTCAATTCACAGGAATTAGGTGGCATTGTTTGAAGAGGGAGATGCCCCCAACTTCCCAACCAACAATACCCAGACACTCCATATCTTATTTGAGATTATGTATACATTTGAGTGTGTCCATTCAGGGAGTGCAGGTTCTGGGTTTTACAGTTTGAGCCACGGCCGCATTTATGAGTCAGAGGCGTATGAGCCAGAGGACCAGTTGGCTCTCCGTGTCGGGTTGTCGATAACTTTGAACCATTTGAAGCAATGGTCCTTCTCGGATTCAGGTGTTGGCAAATTACTCTGCTGTTGACTTGCTCTTGCAAGAAAGGGTGGCCCACCCAGTACTTAACAGAATACCAAGGCAGGTTCAGCTTAGATTAGATTTGTGCTTCTTACACTTCTCCCTGTAGCAGCGGCCCGACAGAATAGTCCAACTTGGTCGTGACTGGATTATAAGGCTGTGGCTTTGGATGACAAAATGACTCTTAGCTAAGGGGACCCTGGTTTGCCTTGGTTTTTGTGAACACAACTCCTACTCATCTTGAAGTTGAACAGTCACATTGACATTACAACAAGTATTCTTTTATAGAGACATGACGGGTACGCATATGTCTTTCTGAAGCGACCCAACCCCACTGAGCTTGAGTGATCCTTGCTCCATGGGAGGGATGGAATTCCGGGCCAAAGACCGTATCAGGTATCAGATGAAGCCTCTTGGCTACAGGTGGCTAGAAATGCTGCAAGATAGACTTAGCAAGAGTGGATTGGATGGAGTTGGTTTTTGATAGGCGAGGCGCGCAGAAACAAGGTCTTAAAGTAAGAAAGGGCCCAAGCAAATGGATGGGAGAAATTGCGTGGACGTTTGCAAGAAACGAGGAAGTTCGGACATGGTCACACAATTCTAGTCACTACTAAAGAAGCTCGCGAACTCAACTTCAAGGGCGGCGGGTTCAAACTTCAAATTCGATCCCGCGGCATCAATGCCTTCAACCTGATAGAGTCATGGCTGGGGATTCGGGAATCTACTGGTTCACGATCGAAACCAAGTGGGTGGTAGATTTGTCGGACGCTGGGTTCTGATTGTTCAAAACCAGGGAAGCTGCAGGTTTATTCATTGCCCAGCATGTTCCAAGCTCAGGGGTATTCCAGGTGTCCGTGCCTCCTGGCACACGATGGGCGGACCATTTACGTGCCTGTAAATGGGAAGAAGGCACGTAAATGTCTCATTGGTCAGGGTGTACCTTCTTTGTACCAAAGCAGGCTTGCAAATGCAACGAAAAACATATGTCATAGATGACCCCCTTGTGGCTTGTTTGAAGAATTGACAACTTCATGTATGATTTCCCAAATGGACACATTCATTTGATTCATCCCATGAAAGATCGTGTCCTTACCCTACCCATTTTCAGATCTGTGAAGAAAAGACCGCATTGCAGCGAAGGCAGACACGGCATTTTTTATCCGTTTTGCTCGGGCCGGAGTCGGGCTGTTTAGGTATGACACCGTGCACGGCAAGTTCAAGCACGACGTGAAGATTGGTGAGAAGGACAGGGCAGCACTGGACAGGGCTGGTGATACTCAAATGGATTGATCTAGCGATATCTAGCGCAAGAGAGGGAGACCTCTCAAAGACCCCCTGCAAGAAGGAGAATAACCAACCAATGTGGGGTCTCCCTATTAAATTGCAGGCTCAGTAAACCAAAAACAATCGGCCAAAGATTATCCCTCCTTTTGAGATGTCAGCCTGCAACCAGGCCCCATCATCCACTTGCTCCAACAGAAAAAGAAAGGTCTTCATCCACTCCACTGGTGCACAGAGTAACAGATGGTCACAGATCCCTTTTGATCCACTGTGGATCCTCGGATCCCAAACCTTGATCCCGGTCCCTCAGAGTCGAGAAACCGGTGCCGCCACCGGCTTAATAAGCCGCCCACCGCTGGACGGCACCGGCCCCCGAAGGGTGAACCGCCCCGAACGCGACGACGGTTCAGGATGAGCTCATCGTGAATGGAAACAAGATCAAGTGCATCCAAGCCTCTCGCGAGGGTCCCAAGGCACTGCCCTGGAAGGAGCGAGTCGCCACGGTTGCGTGCCCGACCACGGGCGAGAGGCGGAGGGTTCCTCATGGGTCCTAAGGTAGCTGCGGTTGGCGCGCCGGGGGTGGTGGGGACCGGTCTTCCACCCCGGTACGAAGTCGGGCAAGATGGGGCAAGAAACGAAGAGAGGTGTATGCCAGACAGAGGTGTTCAAGACATAGAATCTAGAAGCTACCCAGATGAGGTCCTAGCAAGTCCAAAGGACGGGTTAAACTGGTGCGTTACTAAAGAACTGGTTAAACTGGTGCTGTGGGTTGCTCTATGACTTTTCAGTGTGGGTGTGTTTTGTTCCCTTTTGTTGGCCCAAGATGGCCCAGTCCGCCTATTTTCGTCCAACTGTCAGGTGGAGTGGAGAACTTGAAATTAGCCCAATGTTCTTTTTTAGTATTTATTTGATATCCTTTGTCAATTGCAGTTGAAGTTAAAGGCTGTAAGATGTTCAGGCTCACTTGCCAAAATAACATTAGTTTACCACTTTGGACCAGAGGCTTCGGAGTTCCCAAGCACTGAGCCTTGCAAGTGGCCTGGAGCAACACGTGGTGTGAACAGCAACACTTCATTAGTACTTCTGTGTTGAAGTCCATGATTGGTATGGTAGACCTTGTTCTTTGTTTGCGTATGCCTTCCCCCCATGTCATGTTGTTTGGGGAACAAGTAAGAACTCCTCAAGACCGGAAACAGACGAAATCTGCCTCGGTTTCCAAATGGTATTAATCTGCTGATCGTTTGGGATGTGAGCCCTAAGTCCCGATGGTCGCGTGGCCGATCAACGTCGTCCACGTGGTCGAGTGGCTGTCTGGCGGTGGGCCGGCCGTGAGGAGCTGGGCGTGGAGTATGTCATTGAGTCTACTTGCTCAGATCGTTCTTTTTTTTTTCCGTATTCTCCTGTTGGAAGGCTCTCTTCATCTCAGTTCAATAGGTGAGTTTTACAGGGAATGACCAGGAGCTTTTGCAGTGGGATATCAGGATGAGATTGCGCTTTAACCCGACCAAAGTATATTTCATTTATGTTCGGACTCCCAAAAGCAATCAGTTTTTTCCCAAAAGACCCCCTCCAATGGTTCAATGGGTGGGCTTCCGAACGCATCCGAAGACACGCAGCTGGTCATGACCTGGACCCAGATCTCAGACACTGATGGGCCTCATCCAAGGTCCACTGGTCTCTTCGTTGAGGCTGACAAGGCCTCCCGTCGACGGGACTGGGGGAGGGGATGCTCCAGGCTTGTGCCATTGCGTCCCAGACGGGCTGCGGTGGGGGGGTGAAGAAGAAACTGCTGGGGAAGTCTGTGGCTAGCCGAGAGTTCATATATTATGTCACGTTGGTGGAGCGAGGAACAATTTTGGGATGTTTTTTGGGGGGTTACTATTTGGCAATATGCGACGTTGCAGCCAGATGACATACATGTATTTATACCAGGCCACATGTTGAAGTGATCTTGGAGCATCCAACATCGTGTTTGGCAAGTTGGAGGTGTTTTTGGTTTGCCAAGATACAGCTGAGAGAAGCCAGCTTCAAAGGATATCCCTTCGGTGCTCTTGCCGCTCTGGCCACTCAACTCTGTGCCGGTTGCGCTCCGTGGGGGCTCGGACCACGCGCCCGCCGTGGCGTGTTCCCTAGGCCAAGGGCCACATCGAGGCAGGTGCCAAGAAGGTGATCATCTCCGCTCCCGGCAAGGGCGATCTGAAGACCTTGGCCCCTCGGGCCGCACTGAGGGACATGAAGCGCCACAGCGGTGAAGCGTTTCCCATCGCTGAGAAAACACCACATTCCGCATCGAAAAGCTGTCCAGACTTTCGGACTCATTTAGACTCCACAGCTGGTAGCAACTCTCTCATGGTAGCTTCTGGCAGCTCGGTTTCTGGCGCCTCCGACTCAGCTCTACTCCGAGTCGAGGTGTGCGGAGTGAACCACACGGAGTACGACAAGGCCAAGCACGACGTGGTCTCCAACGCCTCCTGCACCACCAATTGCTTGGCGCCCGTGGTGCATGTGCTCCTCAAGGTCTGCACGGAGACCGATACGTCTCGCCAGGGGGCCCGAGACGTGATGCCCTTCCCCCCCTCCGTGTGACTCGTGTGAGTTGGCACTTTGGATCATCCATTTTGGATCATCCATGAGTCATCCACGCAACACGGATGTGTTTTTTTCCTTTATGTTAGTGTTTTGGAGGGAGTGGTTCTCTAGGCTCTTTATGGGTTGGATGACTCCTCCCAGCAACAGGTTCTCGAAGATGGCGGAAAGATGCGGAAAGAGTTTTTCTTTTTCTGGGGGGAGGGTTAGGTAGAGAAATCATTCATATCTTTTTTCATTTGTTCCTGTGCGGGGTGACGACGGTGATGGTCTTTGTAGCACGAGAGAGGCGAGCAAGTGCGAGCGTGACTCAGGGTCCCTTTCGCATACCTGCATGCAAACCGTCAGGATCAAGGCGGCATGCAGCCTGTTGCACAAGCCTCCAATTTTGATCATTTGGGATTTAGGGTGTGATCCTTAATGCAAGGGACAGTCCTGTGAGTGCTATGCACACCCAACCTAGCATCCAAGGTAGACAAAGGGGGGGGTCCGGGGTCCACCAACGATAAAAAAAAGAAGGATACCATGGTGGCCTTGACCAACTACACCTTCAAGACATCCGAAGCGGCACTTAGAGGAATTTGTCTCATTTAACTTAGAGGAATATCTTTGGGACCAGGCCCAAGGTTTATTGATCGGTTCGGAGAACCGTCCATCGTTTTTTACTTGTCTTGGCCCAGAGGGAAGCTGTTGCAAAGCAGTCAGAACCATTGTCCCAAAAATTCCGATACGCACTAACCCTTTGGGCCTCTCACTGTTGGGAATTACTGTAGTTATGACGGAGTGCGAGGTGCGAATCAATTTTGTGCGAGGTATGAATCAATGCCTTATTTTATTCCGTGATGCCTACTGTCAGGAGGGCATTGGCATTGAGAAGGGTTTGATGACCACCATCCACTCCTACACTGCCACTCAGAAGACTGTGGATGGAGTCTCTGCCAAGGACCACCAGCAAGCACGTGTTGTTAGCGAAAGATACAGTTTGCGCACAATTCACTGATCCTAAACATTCATACAAGTCTGGCTGCCTGGCTTATGTCCGATGCATTTTTAGAAGGCATAAGGCAAGTTGCTTACTTGGCCCCGCAGCTAACGCAGCCCCAGGTCTCTGTCCGTCTTCTGCGTTGGCTTTTCAGCAGTCGCATGAACATGTGTGTCACCTTCGTTGCAAGCTTGACAGGTGCTAGACTTGTCATGAGTGGGAGGCTCCATCGCAAGACATACAGATGCGGTGCATACTTTCAGAACATGGGTGGCATGGTCGTACAGACGTTATGGCACACATTTGCCAAAGCTTCACCAGATGCTTACTAGTAAGGCCCTTGCTCCTAGAAGCAATGCACTTGTTCCTAGTAGCTTATTGTTTCTAATAGCCAATTAAATTACTGTAAATTAACGAACAAGACAAACATAGAGCACAGTTTCTTGGCTGCCATGAGCAAAACACGAACAGGAGCCCAGAGAAACCGCGAAGAAAACAACATGTTGCAACGCACCCGGTCACGGAAGTCAAGATGTCGTCCTTTTCCATCAGGTTTCTGATGCTTTCCTTTTGGAGACTGTGATTGTAGAGCCGCAGAGCCAACAGTAGTTGAAGTACTTGCCCGAACTGCACAGGATCGGTGCCACGTGGTGACGTGTTTTGGCTCTAGCGGCTGACATGGTTGGTTTGTTCTGCACGTTCGCGGCTGCAGGAACCAACCATTCTTTTCCGATCCTGTGATATCTCATGAGAGTGGTGCCTGACACAGATGCTCATGACGAGCAAACCATCTTCGAGTTTCTATTGCACACGCGCTAACACGCGCTAACATGCGCTAAGCTGAGAACTGCAGTGCTTTTCGGGGATGGGAAACCTTGGAATGATGGGAATCGGAATAGCCACTGAAAGCAATCATTGGTCATATTTTGATTGGCCGAAGGCTCCCGAATTTCACTCGAAAAGAGAATTCATGAAAACCGATGCGTGGGGAGGGGGACGTCGAAGGACGTGCAGCACTCCTTTCAAAAGAGGCCCAGCCCCAAGACATGAGGGATGCCATTTTGATGTTTGCAAGCGCTGCTAATTCTTTTTGTGTCATATGAGTCATATGTGTTTTCGATGTTGTCACCTTTTCTGGCTGTTGATTTGGTATGACTGTATAGTCACTTCACTTTGTGATAGTACTGAGGCTGGTCAGATACTGTCATACTGTTTGTTGTTATACTGTATCTTGTTGTCACCAGGACCAGTCATGTCCGCTATCATTTTGCTTGGTGTTTGCAGTTGTCACCCTGCTCGTCGCCGTTCCCCTCTTCCCCTCTCACCCCCTCTCGACCCCTCTCAGCGCCTCTCGGCCGCCAGGACTGGCGTGGTGGCCGTGCCGCCGCGTGCAACATCATTCCCAGCGCCACCGGGGCGGCCAAGGCCGTCGGCGAGGTGCTGCCAAGCACCAAGGGCAAGTTGACCGGCATGGCCTTCCGCCCCTCGGAGGGTTCACAGCGACGGATCGGCAGACCGTCTCGCGCGGTGAGCACGGAAGAGGAGGAGAGAAGGTTTCGAGCTGAAGAGTCGAAAGCTGGGAGCGAATGTGGGAAACAGACCTCAAACAAGTGGACTCCATATCAAACATGTATCAAACATATAGTAGGTCTGTTCACTCAGCTTGTACCAAAGATCATCCATTTCCCTCATTGCGCCAATTAGTTTCAGGATCAATCAGTGCTGGGCGATTTGAACCCCTTAGCTCTCTTCGAGTCCTGGATTCGGAACTCCGCCACTCGCGGCTTTGTGCGACGGCAACTGCAGGCGTGCCCACCCCCGATGTAAGCGTGGTGGACTTGACCTTCACGGCAGAGAAGGACACTTCCATTGAGGAGATTGATGCCTTGATGAAGAAGGCGGTCCAAGAGAGAAACCGTGGCGGAAATTTTGGAGCGGCGGAAATCTTGGATTTGCTGTGGGCGTGGTGCAGGTGGTTTTTGGGCCTTCACATGCACCAGACTCAGACCCTAGTATCTAGGCTTTTTGTAGGACAAGGAGTGGCGAGACATAGAGGTTGAACTCATGTATATTTATATAGATTAGTGTCAAATTAGTGTCTTTCACTTGTCAATCAGTGAGTCAGTGAAGATAAGGTTCACGAGGATGTGGAGGTTTGCTAGTGTCCCCGTGTCCAGGCTATGCCAGGGCTGCTCCCTTCAAACTCAATCAACTCTGTTTCATACGGAATGGTGTTGGCCTAGCGGCCTAGCGATCGTTTTTGAAAGTAGGACATGAGAAAATCTCGGGGAATCGTCATGTCCTGCCCAATCCATCATCATCAAGCCAGATGCCCAGCACATACCCCCAAAACCTCCCAAAACCCATGCTCTTCCCAATCAGGGCCGGTGCCCCAACGGCAGGCATAGAGAGTGTCCATCTTCGCAGGCCACCGATTCTTACATGAAGGGCGTCCTCTCCTACACCGATGAGGAGTTGGTCTCCGCTGACTTCATCCACAACGTGCCGCTCGGCGACCTCGCGCTGGAAGACCGCCCGGACGACGTCTCGGCGGTCCGCAGGGGGGGTCGCTCGCTTGGCTGGTGGTGCTTTTGACGCAGCCTGTGCCCAGGAACTCCTCCATCTACGACTCCAAGGCCACGTTGCAGAACAACCTCAAGGGCGAGAAGCGCTTCTTCAAGATCGTGTGCCTTGGACTTCGACGGACGAGAGGCGGCATGGAATCATGGGTCACATCTCTGTCAACCCTAAGATCTGGTAGGTTGACCTCCTATTCGGTCTATTCTGTCTATTTTCGGTGGTCAACCAGAGTCCACGCCCCTTTGTTCGAGAGATCCCAAGTGGGTGGGGCAAGGAGTTCTTTTGCATTTGGGGCCCCGGATGAAAAAGGCCAGTTGATGAGAGCTGGCAGTGTTTCGTGATTTTGCCGGAGAGATGTTGCAGGAAGAAGTTGAATTCTTCAACGACGCCGATGCTCAGCAGGTATTTTCGAAGGATAGCAGAACCTTTTGAAATCTTGAGACACATTTCAGCATTTTGCACCAAGTGAACAGCTCTTTCGGAAGCTGGGCCGAACTCTTAAACTATCCACATGCAGTGGACATGCAGGTCGTTCAGTGAGCTCAGCTAGTGAGTTCAGCCATCCAATCGAGCTTTCAGGACCCATGGTTTCATAGTTGGATTGGTTTCAGCCCCCCAACCAACGCCAGCACCAACGTCCAGACCCCAGATGGGGTGGAGGGTGGAAGAGGGAGCCCAGCACCATCGTCCTGTGGCGTCCCATTAAACCCCCGCCCTTAGGGTGCAAAAAGATGCTTAACCCACCTTTTCTTGGGATGGTTGGCTCATGTTGGTTCATTTTTATGTCACGTGCAAGCGCGCCGTGCATGGCTGGTGCAATGCAGCGGGCCACTCGGGGTGGTTAGTCTACAATCCTCTTGCGCACCCTTCCTAACACCCTTCTGCCACGACCTACATGGTTCTTCAATTTGGTTCCCGCCAGGTCTTGGTATGACAACGAGTGGGGCTACAGCAGCTGGGCTGCACATGGGGAGAAAACGGGAATGGCGACTGAGACGGGCATTGAGTACCGGAGTACTAGAATCTCCAAGTGCTGTGTTGCAATGTAGCTTTGTCACAGAGGTTGGAAGATATTGATTGGGGGGTTAACTCTCTGGTTGAACCTTAACACATTTCACAGCTGAATGTGAGTGCATCCTCAAGTTGTGGACCTCTGTTATGATGAGATCAGCATCGAATCAGTTTCTGATTAGATTTGATTACATATACTCGTACTTCTCTAAAACGAGTTATTCTCTCATCCTGGCTCAGCTGTACAAGAAACGTCAATTTCTTGCGCCTTTGTGGCATGCCTCGTGTCGCCTGGTGTCCCTATCAAGGCCTTGTTATGTTGGTGGTTGGTTGAGGCTTTCAATTTATCTACGGGACTGTAGGGCGATTGGATTGAGATAGGCAAAGTTATAGGCATATATATTGCTTGATTTTCAGGTGGGCAGGCCAGGTGAATCTAAATTCCTAAGCACTCGATAGCTTCTCTGTGTCCTTGGGCTTAGATTCAGTTCCTTGTTTCTTGTCACCCCGAACACCGTTCTTCCCGTTCCCCCCCTTTAGCTCCTGCGGGGCTTCATGTGTGGGGATGGGACCCGACTCTGCCTTTGCCACCCTTTCGGTATGGGTCTGCAGAGTTATGTATATAAGCCCTTGACTGCCTAGTAGATTGCATTTCCAAAGGCCAAGCTAAGTGAAGAATTCGTCGCCAGGCAACAGGGTTGTGGACCTTTTGATGTACATGATTGCGGCCTAGATTTTCTGAGTTCGACAGTCTTCTGGTCCTGGATGCGACATGAGACCCGGCCCATGATTGATGTCATCAGATTGGTCCGCGGTTGCCGACATCTCTGTTCAGTGGTTCCTAGACATCGCGTTGAACATGCAGCCGTCAGCCCCAAAAGTAGAGAAACACGTTGGGCCTCAGAGGGGTGCAGCTTTTTTTCGCTTCTTCCAGCGTCCGTTTCGGTTTGTTTGTTGTGATGTCCGACGCGGGCCATCCTGTTGGCCTTTGAAAGTCGCGGTGCTGAAGAGATCATGGCATCACATGGCGTGTATCTGATGGTTTCGCTCAATTTTCGAGCCGGACCCCAAGCGGGTCACAGACAGAAACAGACAAAGATGTTGGAGAAATGGCCGCGCAGCTTGGTGGCCTGGATTCTTTTTGGGGTGTTGCCCTTGAGGGCCAGTGGAGGCAAGTTGACTGGGAGTTGGGAGTCCTGAAATTTGCGACGGATTTCACCCGCGAGGCAAATTGGATTGAAAACACGGATGCCGGAGATTCCCTTGGTGGATCACGCTAAACTTTTGCAGCAAGCGTACTCTGAACCCGTTTGGTCCAGAGCTTAGTCTCTGATAAAGCTTAGGCTTAGTGAGTTTGCTAAGGGATTCATCAAGCTTGTCAAAGGAAATTCCGGAAACACATGGTTATTCAGATTCGATGTTCCACAGATTGACAGATGTTCCATCTCAGGGTGAAATCACAGCTGCAAGTTATCCCCCGATAATAAAAGTCTAAGCCACACACATCACTTAACGATTGTCGCAGGCTCGCAGGAGAGCTCTCCCCCTCTGCCCCAGAAGAAAAGACACCTCTTTTACAGCCACAGATTGCAGGAGTCACCCTTGGTGGCCCGCACCACCTCGCGCGACCTCGGTGGGCGCGCCTTCGGCCGTCCCCTCACCCTTCGACCTTGGGAGAGGCGTGGTGCGCGGACTCGAGGATGTTGGATCCCTTCGAAGAGGCCTCCGCCCAGGCAGAAGCGGCGGCATCCTTTCTGGGGGGTCGAAAGGTGTCGAAAGAGATGAACGTATCTGGACTCCGAAAAGGCCAGAACATGGGGTTGGTGCAGCAGCCATCCTGGAGGCAACAAGAGGTTTGCTTTGACCATAACAGCAGCAGACGTGTGGAAGAACTTAGTGGAACTTGATGGAGCTTGTCTGCTTTACATTTTGGGTATTTTGGAATGACAGATTAACATGTTGTTCAATGGTCGTTCCTCGAATTGAAGGATGCACACACACAGCTTCATTTTCAGCTGTGAAGGATGCGACGTTGAGACGAAAGGGGCCCCCAGTCGTCATTTTTTCAAGTCCGAAGGCCCATGATTCTAGGCGGGGACTTCAAGACTCCCTGGGAACATATATGCATATAAGTATGCATATATATATACATATATGTATATATATATATGACTATATATATGTTCTCATGTTGTTTTTCCACCCCAAACGTGAAAGAGAAGAACCGACCCTTGGACCCTGACGTGATCGAACAGTTCGGAACCTTGGGATACCTCGAAGAGGTTGGGGACATGTTGAGAGCCCTTCTACGTTCAAAAAGGTTTTTGTTTTTCCCGTGTGAGGCGATGGAGGGCTGGGACCCCTTCGAGGCAGCGAAGCGATGGGAGGATTTGTGAGAGTAGACTGATTCTATGAGAATAGCCCTTCGGGGGGGTTCATGTTTTTGTTCTTCAGAGATGACATGAAGAGTCCACATTGCATATATCATTACATCAATTTCGACGTTCCCCTGCGCCCTGCTATGGACTTCCGGAGGTCGATTTTGGGGGGTCCATGGCCAGTTCTCGAAGGATGGAGCGAAAGAAGGAACCGAGCGCCATGAAACATGTTCCATGGTGGTCCATGGCCGAGAATCATTCACCTGATCCATCCCTTTTCGCACGGAGGGGAGGACCTGAGGCGGTGGAGATTGCATGGGGGTGGCACCAGGCTTCGCCAGGCACAAGCAGGCTTGTGGTTGTTGCTTCAGGTTTGAAGTCAGCAAAGCTATGGGCAATTCCCAAGACTTGTAATTAGGCAATTATTGAGTATTGAATCAAATTCCAAGAACGGCACATGTTCAACTACACTCCAGCAGAGACTGCTGATTTCTTGGGAAGGCATCATCAGGACTAGTAGTTTAGTAGTCGTAGGCAGCACACAGAACTAAAAACGAGACTCGTCACTCACACCTCCAATCGTGTTTTTTTGTTTTATTTTTCAGTATTTTTTCCAAACTCCATCAAACTCCCATATCTTTTTTCATTTCCAAGGGGGCCTTCTAGGGAGGTCAACATGCAGAGCTCATGGAAGTCATGCACAAACACCTGCAGAGCTGGTGTACGTGTTTGCATAGTCATTGAATGAATTCTTCCACTAGCGGGCCGCCTGTTTCCTGCCCAGCGCTGCTCTTCGAACGCGGGTTCGAACAAACTACAGCAGCCTCGCCTCAACATACTACAGTCACCTAAACCGCAGGGCTCCAAGAATCTAATTTTAACAGAAGCTTCTTGGGACGACCGTTGGACCTATCGCCTCTTGCATATTTGCCGACGAAGCCCCTTTCGTGGGGCTGGAGCGGAGGATCCCGAGATGCTGGAGCTCACCGGCGAGCTGGCGATGCAGTCCGAAGATGTGGAAGGCTTGGAGGCGCTCCCAAACGTCCCAAAGGGATCCAAAGGGAAGCTAGTAGTAACAAGTGCCTCGCTACTAGTAACAAGTGCCTTACTAGTAGTAACAAAAAGCTTTTAGAATTAAATTGAGAATTTAATTAGAATTGAAATTACTAGCTGGAAGAAGATTTGTTTCTACTGGCTTCTTCTTACTCTTAGTAAGGCACTTGTTACTAGTAGCGATGCACTTCTTCCTAGTGGCTTCTTGTTTCTACTAGCTTCTTGTTGCTATTAGTAAGGCACTTGTTACTAGTAGCGATGCACTTGTTCCTAGTAGCTTC